TACTTAAGGGGGACTATAAGACTTGAACTGACCCCTCCCTCGACCCTCCAAGTAGACCTTCTGCGGCTGAGGCCCTTGCCCCAGGACCTTCCCTCCTGGTTGCAAAACGCAGTCCAGGTGCCTTCCGACCAGCGACGTACTTACTTGGTACTTTGGGACTTCCAGATTGGGGTTTCCGTGCGGTAAGCAGCCGGGATGCCACGCGTTGTGTAAGAGGGATGCATGTTTGGAGGGTGAATCCACAGAGCAGCTCCTTACCGCGCACATGGGCCTCTTCTGCGGTTTGGTACCATGAAGACATGTCATAGTTTCTGTGAAAGCAATGAACCTGTTTGCCGCAAAAATCCAGCAGATCATTCTGCAGATTGCTACATGAAGGTCGCTGGAAATCATGCTTGCTTGCTTCCTGCGGTTCCCCCCGCTCGAAGGATTCATTTCTTCATCCCTAACGTAGCCGTGCAGGCTAGGTTCCCCGGACCTCCACCATGGATTCGCTTTGCGTTGCGCCTTTTGTTGGAACGGCGCCAAAATGGCCATAACGCAGCCAGCTGACTCCTGTGGAGTTTTGTATGATGAGGGTGTACGCCTAGTCACCGTAGTATCTGCTAGACTTATCTTACGAGAGGTAGTCAGGGGCATTCTATAGAGGAGTTTTATAGTGGGGTTATTAAGGGGGATGCTAGGAGTTTAGACTATGGCTCCTATGTTCTCCTTGTACAGTCCCTGAAGTGCTTTCCTGGCCTTTGATTCATTTGACGCAGCCTCTGCTGAGCAAGTCACCTGTTGTAGCATGTGCCATGGTCTTTACCCAGTCCTATAGCGCGGATCTCCAAGAGGACTTGCATGATATGGCAGTTTCCCAAAATAGGGGGACCCTAATATAGACCCTAATATACGATAATCCTTACGATAATAACCCCCAAAAAAGGTACCCCTAATTTTGGGAAACCCCCATATACAGACTGCCCCGCGGCTTTGCTTTATGGGCAGGGGCCATAAAGTATCTTGCTTAGTTCGTTGAAGCGCTGTCCTTTTCAAACCTGCTGGAGCCCTACCCCTACCCCCGGGGCTCCCTAAGGGACCCACGATCCGAATGAGTCCTTCCCCAAAGCGGGGTCATGTTTACGTACCTAGGTGCCGTACCATGATTTTGACAACCACCCTGGGCTCAAACATAATCTTAGAGATGTATACATAGCATGAACCCGACATGATCTCTTCAACCCTCGTGGATCGTCCAAGAATCTGATAATCCTTTACCCGTGGCGCTGCGTCATGGACAGCTGCTCGGTTTGCGCTGCCGCTCCTGCCAGCGGGACCACCGAGATCCAACTGGATCATGTGCCTTACAACAAGGAGGAGACGAGGGTTGGACTTCGGGGTGTTTAGGGGTTCAGAGTGTGCAAAGAGTTGACAGCTATCCTGGAAAGAGCTTGTGGCGGCCATGCAGTGTTCCATACTAATACGCCGCAGTAAGACGGCAAGCTTCCCGCATCCTGCATCGCTGGGGGATGAGGTGCGCGTGTTCAGTTTGATGCGCCGCAACGCGGTGCCTTGTGAGTGCGGGACTGGTGTGATGTTGTTTTGGAATTTTGCCGGTCGTGCCATGATATGAGTTTGTCGTGTAAGCCCACTTGAGTAAAACAAATGGGTAGTCTGCAAAATGTTCCTTGGTGAAGGTATGCGCAGGGTGGAGTATGCTTTTGCAGCGTCAGAAAGTACATCGCAAGCCCCCTCCTCAAAGAGCCAAGACGATTCTGAGCTTAGTCGGAGAGACTGCGCTGCAGGACGGAATTTATCCCCCCCTAGTATCAAAACTTCCTACCCCCTTCCCCCCCCCCTCCCCAAATATCCAGCATAGTATACAATAATGTATAGAATATTAAGTAAGGGGGAGGGGATGACTTCAGGGTATTTCTGGTCTATGTTCTCGTGCACTTGGTCTCAGAGCTTCCGCTTTCCGAGAGAGACATATCCAGCATCTTCCATCTGCTAGAGTAGGACTGCAGGACATCGAGTCTGAGGTCAGGGGCGTTAAGCATCCCAATGCATTGGCCATAGTCCCTTGCCGCCACGACTAGCGGGTAGTGGACCAACACAAATCTACCCCAAACAATGACCCTTAAACTGGGGGCCAGCCCTCAACGCTAACCCCATGCTGTACGTACCTATACAGAAGATCTTGCCTTGGGCCTGGCTTTGCATCAGCCTATGACAGTTGCAACGGATTCCCCAAAATGTTTCGAATGCCCGAAAGCCCGAAAAGCCCCAATATCATGGCGTCTGTGTCGAGCGGTCACAGTAGGACGTGCAGAAATGCACCCCAATGCCTAAACTCCCCAACCTAGCAGCCAAGAATTGTCTTGCTTCGGCCTGCTTGCCACTGGTGTAGCCTTGTATCCCTGCATACTGAGGAGCGCGGCTAAAAGCCATGCATCTAGACCTTCTGAACAGCGGAACAGTCGCTGCAAGAGCGTCCGCTCAACGATATGTTCATGAAACATATCTGGAATTACTATTACTGAAAATAAAAGCGAGAATCGTAACAATATCGAAAATAACAACATCAATGATAGCGCCTACATCCCAAGCCCTGGAGCCCTAAACCCTAAACTCTAAACCCTTGACTGCAAGAATCATCTCTTGGAGAAAAGGTCCCACAAAAAACCCTTGACTGTACTTCCTTGGCTCTAAACCCTAAACCCTAAATCGTGCAGCACAGGAGTCAGAGCTGCTCAAGGAATTCGAGACCCTGAACGCGTCGGTCTCGAAGCCTCGGGAGCGATGTCTTTTCATGGTGATATCCATTATTGTTATGGCTGTTGTATATAATTTGTTCGATTTTCACGGTTCAGGAAGGCTTATGGATTGATACTCTTCACCTTGAATAATGTTACCGTGACATTAATAAACACCCCCCCCCCAGAACTTGTTTTGCGATCTGGGCTTACGGAAGGGTGGGGGTCGCAATAATAAATAACGGGGCATGGGTAGGACCAGGTACTGCAGCTCGTACGACTAATAGGACAAGTAGAAGGGAGTCTATTAAAATCGGGACGTTTCCGGCCGGACAGTAATAGTATTGCCACCCCTTTATTATTGCGATATGGACCTAAGTAGACCTTGTTGGGCTCAAAACTTGTTAGAAAGCNNTTTTTCCGGCCCGGCAACTCAATGTCACATTAGGGACCGTCAGCAGGGATGTGGAGAATGGTGCTCTTATAAAGGAGGGGAGGGGCACTCATCACAGCATGTTAGGCATTACCATAGTACACCCCCCAAAGGTACCCCACCCCACCCCCAGATCTTGAGCTCTATTAGGCCTCATTAAGCCCTATAGAGTCCTTATTAACTCTTTAAACGCTGGGGGGTTACCTTTGGGGAGGATGGTATTACAATCCCTTAGTATGGCTTGCCGTGCTGGAAGTATCTGGACGAAGCACTTCAAGAATTGGGTTGTTCTCAACATTATAGACCCCTTTTGGCTAGAGATTATATTGCCGCACCTATATATAGTGGTACTAAGATGGGACCATACTTTTTTGTGAATTACCCAATTGGTTCGGCTCCTGACTAATGTGGCCCGTCCAAGCAGCTCGATACTCCACGAACACAGGACTGTAAAATCAGGTGTCTGCAATTCACCTTCGTTGCCCTTGCCGGCGTTGAAATGTTACTGGCATTTTTCCTTTCACGATTTCGAGTATGCTCCAAAAAGCTAATTTCCATCCTTTCACTGGTTTTGCCCGTACATGAAGGTTCCTGTCACAGGTAGAAAGGATTTCATGTCGCTGCAGCCCAGTCGTCTTGGCCAGCTGATGGGCAAAGCATACTTCCTAATTTCTTGCTTTCGTGATAGCTACTAATGTTCAACAATTTTCTCATGGTAGTTGCTTTTTCTCTTGGTACGACCTCTAATCATCTTTCTAATGGTAGCGCTCTTGTTCAGGGTCAGAGATGGTCAGGCAGAATTTTGATTGTTTGGGGCTGTAAGTTGTAAGAGTCCATTTGGGCATCAGCGTGGCTCAAAGGTGTTTCTGACATCAGGCCTCCTAAACCCTAAACCCTGTATGACCCCCATAACTCCATTTTCGGTACCCCTAAGTTTAGGGAACCCCAAATCCATTTGGGCCGAATCTTGGACAAGGCAGCCCCTTTGGATTTACTGTGGTGTTAGGGTTTCAGGGTTTAGGGTTTCAGGGCCCAAGAATGGAGAATCAAATGGAAAAGAAAATGTATGAAATGGGAACTGGGATAATAGGGTAGTTCATAGGGTTCTTTCGGGGGTTTATGGGGGTTATATAGGGATAATGGAATGATAATGGGAACTACTATATAGTATATACTGGGGTTATATAGGGATAATGGCAAAGAATATGGAAACTACTCTCTAGGGTTTGGGGTAGAAGTATTTTCTCTAGGGGTTTTGAATTGCACCGCTGAAGCCTAACAGAGGGTGTCTAGGAATGTTCAAATCCTGTAAAAGGGCCTGAAGAAGAACGCCGTGTAATCTCGGTTTTTGGCAGGCTGCTGTGAGGAATCACGCGCAGTTTGCTAGAGTCACATTCGGAGTATGTCTGCAACTTTAAAGTGTGGAGCCTCCCGTCTATAGTCCCCGTTAAGTAGATAGAATATGGCGTTGGATGTATTATGATAAGATCCCTATATACACCATGTTCTATGGATTCTATCATCCCTTTGGAGCATTCCCAGTGCGTTTCCCCACTTTCGCTTGATGGCAGCCACAAACGAGAGAGCGCGCTGATGATGGTTTTGGTGGCTGAGATAGGCATCCTTGCACGCGTAGGTGGGTGTCCTTTCCTTGGGACTAGAAGTCCCAAAGCCAAAGCCTTTCTACCGCGCTCTACCCTCTAAACCCTAAACCTTCCTACTCTTATTTACTTACTGGTTCGTAGTAGGGAAAAATGGAATTGTTATATAGGGGTTGTACAGGATTAGATTCCCTCATTCTCTTCCAAGAACCAGTAAGATTGACCCTGGTATATAACCTTGAGATATACCCTCTGTTGGAGGAGATGCTCTCTAGCCTGAAGCTGCAGCAGGCAGCCATTCAGGCGACGATTACAGACATGGAGGACCCATGTTAAAGACGTTTGGATATCGGGCTTTGCATGAACTGAATAGGGTTCAGCATGAGGCTGTGCGGGATCTTTGTTGCTGGGATGTGTCGGAATTAAGAGGGTCTTGGACGTGAGGGGATCTACGCACCACACCCTTGACTCAGCACGAGTCTCCTTGCAAAATCAGCCCCGCAGCGCACTCATGCTTCTTTGCTCCCCCCTACTCCGGCTTCATTTGGGCCTTGCTTGGGGTGGGATAGTGCTAGGTGCTTGTTTGCACATTCGGCTGATATCCAGCGTCGAAGACCTAGAACCTACTATGCGTAGGAAACTTTGGAACTTTGGCGAGGTTCGCTTACTCTTGTAGTTTCTGAGGTTCAGTACCTTGAGCCTACAGCCAATTTTGTTATTAGAATTTCAGGTATGTGGAGATGTGAGCAAGTGATATGCCAGCAAGGCTTGATTGCGTTCAGGATCCCACGAAGGTTCATGGTTTCTTCGGAGGGTCACCAAGAAGGCATTGGGGTCATGCAGGGTTCACTGGCTTTACGATTAAAAAGGCCGGACACTCAGCACTGGGCTAGACAAATATTTTGAGCTTTGAGGGTTGAAACCCTTACACCCCTAAACCCTAAACCCTTAAAATTAACCCTTAAGCCGTTAAGCCTTAAACCCCTAAACATCCCCAAGATGGGTCACTCCAATTCCGCCGCTGAGAGGTGTGGGTTTTCTGTTTGGGTTTAGGGTTTACAGCAGGGTTTAGGGTTTAGGGAGCTGTTCCGAGGTTGTGGGCTTTTGGAGCAAAATGCCCTCCCCATTCGCACAATAGCCTGCAGTAGGGACGTTGCCAGGACATGCTAAGCACCTCGCAGATACAGCTGTCGGAGCTCGCAGCTAAGATGGAGAAGGCTCTCCGACCCAAGGGGATCCTGTTTAGGGTTCAGGGATCCCAAAGACAGCGCCGAGAGACCACGTAAGGTAGGTTAGGTGGGGATATGCCCCTGCTGCCTTGATCATGCACGCTGCGCGCAGGGAGAATTCAAGCTTGGCTGGGAATTTTAGGTTGAGGACTATGGGACGCTTGGAAGCCTAAGCAGTGGATCCCAGACTGTGGAGGCACTCTTGTCAGGATCTTGAAGCCAAAGCCCTCCAGTCAATATTCTATAGTGTCCTGTGAGGACTAAGTTTGAGAACGCTCGTGTCTTGTAATATGCCTGCTTAGCAACCCCTGCAGGTGCACCAGAAACACCAGCAGCGAGAGAAACACCTACAAAGCATCAGGACTCTTTGCTGCGATAGGTTGTTCTTGCAAGTGTCAGTGCATAATGGCTGCAGATTTCAAAGTGGCAGCCCATCTGTGTTTGTGGGTGTGTGTGTGTGCGGGTGTG